CTAGAACTTGAACTATATGATTGGCCATGTAGGATCTGGCTCCCATAACCAGTAGGCTATGGAGCTAGCCCCAAAATTCATATTTTTAACTTCTTTTCTTACAGGCATTATTGGTGAAAGCCAGCAGAGTTAATGGTGCCCTAAGACACCTTCAAGGTGAGATCAAAGTACCAGGGAACATAATTCAATGGACACATTTGTCATTCATTGCTAATCATTCTGTTAAGATGACTTTTTAAAATGCCAACTTCTTTGTTCCTTATTTTTGCCACTGTGGTTCCATGAATCCAAAAGCTCTGAATAACTTGGATGCTCAAAGTAGGAAAAGCTTTGCATAATAGTCACTCAGTTCAGCATGAATAAGACAAAATTAGCCACAAAGCTTGAAGTTCTTCAATTATTTGAACTACCCAGGCTTTTATAACCATCATTTTACCCACGATTATTTTATACCAAACTACATAATAAGATAGCAGGGAACCTCAGATGTGACTCCAGCAGAGAAAAGACAAGTTGCATCCCAATTTATCAGGCACTCTGCTCCTTGTCCCCATTTTTTCCCTCCAATTTCCCAAATCCTTTTGGTTATCTAATTATTAACCATAGAATTTCTTAACACCTCATTTTTTTGCTTTGTATTTCATTCTACTTTTTGCTAAAAGTTTTTGTAAAACTTACAAGTTAACTGTTATTTAAAATTCCTTTAACAATATGGAACTTTCCTCAATCTGATAGGAATTCTTTAAGAATGAACTTTTTTTCCCCATTTAAGTCCTACTTCAACAAGTTCACTGATTGTAGATTTCTCTCACAAACAAAGATGAGGTATCAAAACCCAGACATCTCGAAAATAGCTTTTTCTTAAAGTCATTTAGAATCTGAGACTTTCTGCTCTGCTATGTCAAATTACCCAGTTTGGGAATAAGATTTGGTATAGGTGTAGGGAGATGGTAGTGAGGGGAGTAGTGGGGAGTAGTGGGGGGAATGGTAAGCAGTCTGTAAAATAAGAACTCACATTGTCCTCTGAAACTTATTATATATATATGTGTGTGTGTATATATATATATATATATATACACACACCAGGCACTCTGCTCCTTGTCCCCATTTTTTCCCTCCAATTTCCCAAATCCTTTTGGTTATCTAATTATTAACCATAGAATTTCTTAACACCTCATTTTTTTGCTTTGTATTTCATTCTACTTTTTGCTAAAAGTTTTTGTAAAACTTACAAGTTAACTGTTATTTAAAATTCCTTTAACAATATGGAACTTTCCTCAATCTGATAGGAATTCTTTAAGAATGAACTTTTTTTCCCCATTTAAGTCCTACTTCAACAAGTTCACTGATTGTAGATTTCTCTCACAAACAAAGATGAGGTATCAAAACCCAGACATCTCGAAAATAGCTTTTTCTTAAAGTCATTTAGAATCTGAGACTTTCTGCTCTGCTATGTCAAATTACCCAGTTTGGGAATAAGATTTGGTATAGGTGTAGGGAGATGGTAGTGAGGGGAGTAGTGGGGAGTAGTGGGGGGAATGGTAAGCAGTCTGTAAAATAAGAACTCACATTGTCCTCTGAAACTTATTATATATATATGTGTGTGTGTATATATATATATATATACACACACACACACACACACACACACACACACACACATTCTCCTATTTCCCAAGACTCCATCTCAGACACCTCTGTCTCAATGTTTGTAGTAAATTAATGATGATTTTCTCTGTTGCTTTGGTTAGGCAGCGTCTTTCGAAAAGGGGTTCCTGGGAGATAAATGCTCTAGTCCTTTTTCTTTTTCTACTACACACACACACACACACACACACACACACACACACAGAGAGAGAGAGAGAGAGAGACATATACACAGAGAAAGAGAGAACAACCTAGTATGAAGGAAATACACTTTGAAAACTACTTTCATTTTTCTCCTGTTTCTGTATATCTTAGAACACTAGAAATCTCTCAATGGAAAAAAAAAAAATCTGCTAGTTCACAGAATTTTAGAAACTGGGAGTGACCTTAAACATTATCTTGTCTAAATTTCATTTTATAGATAAAGTAAATGAAGACCTGACAAGTGTAATAGATTAGAGGTGTCCACCAATACTTTGCTATTTCTCCCACTGAGAGGTAGTCTCGTTCTTTCCCTCCCCTAGTGTCTATGATTGCTTTGACAAATAGACTACAGTGCAAGTAGCATTTTGCCAATTTCTGGACCAAGGCCTTAAGAGAATGGTAGCTTCTACTTCCTGTCTCTTGCTTGTTCTTGGGACTTTTCCTTTTAGAAACTAACGCATATTCTGTGGGAAGCCAAAGCCACATGGAGAGATCACTTATGTGGTAACAACCACAGCTAAGCCACAACAGACAACACCTGTGTGACTATGCCATCTTACATGCCCACGATGGGCACAGCTTCAGCGGCTCCATCCCCAGCCAATATCTGACAGCAATCACACAAGAAATCTAAGCAACCATGGATTAATGAGAGATAATGACAAATAGTTGTCAACCATAGATTAATGAGAGATAATGACAAATAGTTGTTTTAAGCCACTAAGTGTGGGGATGATTTGTTATGTAGTAAAAGCTCCCTCAAACTGAAAGTGGCTTAGACCAAAGTTTCTAAGTAATGCCAGAGTGAAATCATGCCAGACCTAGCATGATCTCATTGTAATACAAAGCGAACACAGAGTTAAATAAAACCTATTCTCGGTTTCTCAGTACTTGTTAATTTCAAAAGCTTTGCTTTTTCAATAGTCATATGGAGTAAAGAATTTTCTAAATCCTTAAATACTTAAAACAAATTCTTAGAGCTCTGCCTGCACTCTAGATCATCATTTGGAGAATAAATTAAGATGGCATTCTCAAGCACTCCATGAAGGCAGGAAATAACTCCTGTAATTAGGGAAAATTCTAGTTTAAGTAAATTAGGGAGGCTTCTTTGTTTCAGAAATGTAAAATATTTTTCAGAAATGTAAAATATCCAATAGAATCTATTGATAACACTTTTTTTTCCAAAACATTTTTGACCAAGGTGGCCTTCTTCACTGAGCACCTCATGAGTTGTTTCATAGAAACACTAAACTTAGAAACAGGAATAGGAATGCAATCTTGTGAAAGTAAAAACAAATTTTACCCTGAGAGTATTTCACAAAAAATAAAAGCTTCATAATTTGGTATACTTTCTGCTTAGAGAACACATTTTTAAAAAAGTTTGCTAGAGGGTGTGTGCACTCATGGGAGAAAGACAGAAAGAGAAAGCAATACTTCCCATGGGAGATGGTCATGCAGCAATCCCTCCCCACCATTTCTCTTTGGGGATTTTGGGCACATGCACATGCATCCAGCATGTTTTTTAAGCAGCCAGGTCCAGAACTTGAACTGATCAGTTGGTCATATGGCATCCACCTGCCTTAACTATCATGCCATTGGCTGACCCCCAAAATCACACTTTTTAACAAAACTTTGATAACTGTCAGAGACTATAATTAATCAGGTGCTTTTTATGACCTGTTCCTATTGCTTTACCCTCCTTATAGGAATAGTTAGTAAATATTTGAGGAATGAATACACAAAGGAACAAATAAAATTAGATATGTAATAAATAATTGAATCAATTAATTAAACATTATAAACCTGGAAATCAGCGCTAATTAGACTGGTTTGGGTTTTGTAATTTTATTTCCATATAAAGGAAATTGGAATTTTAACAATTTCCCTATGTCATAGAGTTCTTGGGTTGTTTTAAACGAGATTTCATATTTGGAGGTTTTAAAGTCAGAAATGGGGCAGTTTTAGAGCTGAGATTCTTCTGGCAATTATATATTCATCAACTCCTTTCATTTTCTGGTTGTAGAGATCAGGATTTAGAAAGAGAGTTTATACTGCAAACACAGTGGAAAACTCCTTCCCAGTGGATCCATATTAAAGATGTTAACATAGTCCTTTTTTTTAGTACATGTTATATCAAACTCTGTGATTCTAATTCAGGTGGTGATTATTTCTCACTTACAAGTTTTACAAGCAATTTGGACCACAAAAACATATTTTACTACACAGTTCATGGCTGGTATAGGAAAGTGTGGCAGTCAAAACACTTAATAACCAGATGGCATGGACACTTACAACCAGAATAGACATTGGCCATAAACAACTGGAGCAGCTGTACAGCAGAGCCAATAAATGATACCTGGTAAATTATCCTTTTCCCTCCTTGCTACTAGTTCCTGGCATTGTTTGTACTGTCATTTATATTAGAAATTTATTTCCATTCAGTATCGATCTTAGACTGTAGCTGTTAATAATTGTCATAACACAATAGGTTCCATTGTCTGTCTGTTGGGACTCTCAATACATCAGAGTCTCCTTCAACAATATGCCACTCAGCTCTGAAATCAAGAAGCATTCTCAAGTCTCCAGTTTTCAAACAGAGAAGATTGTAGTTTCGTCTTCTCCTCTTGCTCCTATTGGAACATGGGCCAATCTACTGCCCATCCTTGATTATCTACATATCTCTCCACTCCTATATATGCTACATTTTTGTTCTATAATCATATTACATAATTGAATATGATTTGAAAGACAGAAGGAGTAATATAGCCATGAAAAGATAGTAGAGGAAAAAAATGTAATGGCATGAGGTTATGTATTTAATACATTTAAGTTAGAATGGGAAGAAAATATTTGTGAGACTAAAGCAGAGTATCTACATTAAGCCAGTTCTTTTGTGTAGCTCTGATAAAATATGCATTAAAATATTAAATATAATTCCATAGTTCTCTCTAAATAAATTTCTTCTTTTGCAAGTATTTGAAGGGTAGCTTATACTCTTTGACATAGACATTCGTATATTACCTTGTCCCAATTCTGCTACATTTGCAATATGTTGTCCAAGTTTTGATTTGAGCACAATTCAACTGCAAATGGGGAATGAGTGCCTCATTCTCTTGGATTTAAAGTAGTTATAGTTCTAACATGCTTACCTCTACAAGCCTGTTGGTGTGTTCATGAAATATCGCAGCATATTCTTTTATTTCCTTTTCCCGGCCATTCTTAGCAGCTTCAATGAGAACCAGAAGTGGGACTGTCGTATCCAAGAAAGAGTCTGACACATGATCTATAATAGCCTTCCGGAGCTGAGGAGAAATAAAACATTAAGGGTTTTTTTTTTTTCCTTTTCCAGAAAATTCTTTATATTATTTCCCATTTTTATAATTTCAGTCTTTACAAAATTCATTTTATGTATTTAATGCATAATCTCTCAAATCATAATATTTAAGATATGTGTGCATGTTCCTTATAAACTGATACAAATAAAATATCCAGGAAAGAAATCATCCTGTGATATAGTTCTGTTGCTCAAAAGTCACTAATTTTTCTAAATTGTAATTAGCCTACAAGTCAGAATACAAATGATAATACTCCATATTTTCCTCAAAGAAATTACATTATTAGAATGTTTATGCATGTGTACAAATAGCAGTGTACATCTTGTATTTTTATAATTATAAAATTATAAAATGTTTTCTACCTTGTTTGAGGAACTGATGATAAATTTTGATTAGTTAAATTGTAGACTTCATGGTAATTAAACCAACTTTGATCACCGATTATGCCAGCTGATAACAGATTAATAGAGCAAGAAGAATAACAAATGAGTTTGATGTCCAATTTTCTTATGTTTGCATTAATTGTTCTTGCCCTCACACCTTAAATTATTAAACAACTATAACATTCTGTTACAATTACTCCTTTTAAATTAGATTACATGTAAGCTTATAAATGACAATCAGGCAATTACTCTACTCAGCAGATATTTTCTGAAACTTAAAACTGCATTGGCAAATTAATTCATTGTATTTATATAATATTGAGCCTTTTAATATCACAATATTCTGAAATGTTTTATTAACAATGTCAATGACTGTGCATGCTCTCAAAGGTTTTTGGGTCAATTGCCGCATTTAGTTTAATAGCCTCTATATGATAAAACAAAAGTAGCTATCCGACAAGAAAATTATAATTCTCCATTCATAAAAATTGTATTTTAGTACACATTTTAAACCAATAGACACTTAGCTTAGTTTTTTATTATGTGAGGACTATTAGTACATTTTCACAGGGCTAAATGATGGAGTTACATTTTACAAAAAGCATCACTTTTCTATAATAATTATAGAATAATAAATTATAATAACTACAGGTTTCTGGAAGAGAAATAACCACCCAAGATGATAGAGCTTGCTTGGAAGAGTTGTAAAATTTTTTGGCTAACAATAATTTCTCAAAGGCTGTAGAAAAATCCCCAAGGGGGACCAGCAGATGGCATAATAGTTATATCACTGGACTCCCACGTGGGCAAGCACAATTCAAGTCCCAGACCTGGTGGCTTTGAAATCGTGCCAGACATGTGTGCATGCATACCCAAGATCCTGGAAGGAGAATGGAGAAGGGATTGTGGCATGGCCATCTACCCTAGAGGGGTGATTTCTTGCTTTCTGTTTCTCTGTCTCTCTCTCTCTGTCTCTCTGGTGAGCACACATTCACTATAGCAAAAATCTCTCCCAAAAAAGAAAAGAAAAAAAAAAAAGAAAAGAAGAGAAAAATCCCCAAGGAAAAATTCTGTTTAGCATGCAGACAGGCAGATTACTAAATGGCAACTAATTAATATTTATTGAGCACTTATTAGCATAGAATGCAGAGTGCTAAGGGGTTACCAGCATAGGGAAGACTTTAAATGATTAAATAATGTGTTTACTGTCTACAGGGAGCAGACCGGGAAAACCAGGCAAGAGGTCAGGAGTTAGAATTGAGCTGGCAACTACAGATTCTTTTAGATATGTAAGATATGTAATTTACATATTCTATATATGTACATTTTAGATATATAAGGGGAAAGTAGACAAAATTTCTGAGAGATGGGACAGTTTTCACTGACCACACTATAATCTATCCTTTCCTTCTTTCATCTGTAACTGACATGTAGAAGGGAAACTGAGAGGAAATCTAAACTAGAGATATGCCATTAAAAGCCAGAATAGAGGAGGTAACTCAAGCCAAAATATAATGAAACCATTACAGAGGAAGACACAAAGTGAGGAAATGTCCAAGAATAAAAATCTTATGAAACACTACCATTTATGGGAGTCATGCGGATAGAAAAGTGGGGCCTAGAAAGAGACTGAGATAATGGCCAGGAAACAAAGAGAACATAGGACCCAAACTGAAATACATACTTTCCAATAAATCTGTGTGTCAATGCTCTCCAAATGTCCTTATCCTACCAAACTTAATTATCACACTCACCTCATTGACTGGTTGAATCTTCTTTTCTGAGTATTCGATTTCATTCCATTTAACAAATATTTCTGAATACACTCTTCTCACCTTTCTACCAAGAGTAAAGTACTCTACTATCAAGATGGAAATTCATGGTCCCTTATAATCTAGTAAGAGTCATTAAATTTTACACTAAAGGAAAACCAGGAGACTCACAGAGAAAAATTAAATTAAAAATATACACACATATACGTGTGTGTGCCCCATGGTCTAGAGGTTAAGGGAGCTAGATCTCACGTGGCTTACTGTATGTTTCACGTCCCATTGTGGCAACTTGAAAAACACACTGGATGCATGTGTATGAACGCCCAGGGGCCAAGAGGATAGAGAAATGAAGGATAAGGAATTGCGGCATGAACATACTCTCTTTCTGTTTCACCAACGCTTTGTGATGACCAATGGCAAGTTAAAATTATATTAAATTAGATTATAAAGAGAAGTTAAATAATAGCTATAATTTTAAAAATACAAGAGGACTTGTCCACTGGCTATGACCATTAAGAGATTATTCTTCAATTACCTCTTGGTGAGAATAGTTTCAGTGGAAAAGTAGAAGCAGATCTACTGCCATGGTTTGAAGAGTCAATGAGAGACAAAATAGAGACCATAAGTATAAACTCCTATTTCTAGCAGCTTGATTATAATATGATGAAACAAGACTTGGTGTTAGCTATATTGAGACAAGTGTTGAACAGACTGGCATAAATTCACATCAGCAACTATACCCAAAGTATCAGATTGTCTTCTTGTACTTTTCAAGAGAAAAAAAAAAAAAAAACACTTACTGATTTATTACCAAACCAAAAATCTAGAGAGATGGAGAATAACATAATTATTGTTTCATACTCTGCAAACATTTCATACATTTTAAAAAATTATTTATTTAATTTTACTTATTCTTATTTTTTAATTTGACCAGAGAGAGATGGGGGTTGGGGTAGGGAGAGGGAGTGAGAAGGCAAGCCATCAAGTATGGAACTCGAACTATGGTTGGTATGTGGAAGTCCAGTAACTTAACCACTATTCCACCTGCCAGCCCCTTGTGCCAACTTTTGTAATATTTTTTTTCTTGCCAAACATCAAAAGGAAATGGCTAGAAATCAGTGACTTGTGGTGAATGTGTGAAACTTTTAAGAAATAGCATGTAGTAAGTAGGCAGGGAGGTATCTCTCCCTCTAAAAGTATCTAATTCATACAAATAACAAACATAATTAACTCATAATTAACTCATTTTCTCACTAGCCCCTGCATGACTTGTTGATCCCTGATTATGGACTACAGTAGAGGCTTTTGGTTCCTTACCTATCATTCTCTGAACCCATCTCTGATTTCAGCTGTTACCATGAGAAAAGTTTTGTGTCCTCTGAAGCCATCCCATTCTGCCTCAAGGCCTGCTCCAAGTCTCTGAGATTCTCAGCCCAAGTATAAACAGAGTTTGAAAGTTCTGGAGAGTCCATACCACTGGGGCAAACATGGACCAAAAGGGATAGGAACTTATGGATAAAATTCCTTGCCTTCATCCATTGGTCAGACAATTCTGGAAGACATTCTGTTGGTTCTCAGTGGTCTTCAAGCTCCTATTGCCTCTAGCAGCAACCTCACTATCATATCCTTTTCTCCTTCCTTGACTCAATTGTCTTCTTCTGTTACATTAGCTTCTAGGAGTTACCTCCCAAATAAGCTCCCTACACTAAGAAGCCAGTCTAAACTCTGCTTTCCATCTAAAACAGATACATTTGGTGTTAATGATGACTATTCACACACCATGTAGCAGACTCCAGCATCTTACATAAACTATTCATTGTAGATCAGATTCTGCCCCCTCTACTTTACACACCACTGGCTTAGTTCTGCCATGCCTTGTATGATGCTGACTGCAAGAAAGGAATTATTATGAGGTAGGACTAGCAATGCAGATAGGGGCAAGATATGGAAGGACTAGAATGTTATGCTAAGCAATTTATATGTTCTGATATATTCACACGTTTTTTTCATTAAGTTGCACACTCATCTATACCTATGTATAATACTTAAGTAGCCCAGTAGCATAATCCATTTCTTTTATTTAGGAAATACACAAAGTTAAAAGAAGAATCCAATATGCCAGTGTAGAAAATAAGCCATAGAATTAAAACGTGAAGTTAGCAGGAGGCAAATAGACATCAGAAGTAGGTATTTTCAATAAATTTCTGTTTGTGGCCAAGCATGAAAGATGTCAGAATGAAACCAAACCGAGAAGCATTCCACCTCTTCTCACTACAATTTAATAAAAGACTTTGAGATATCAGTGTTTCCATTTCTCACTGATGTAAGTGGTTTGGGAACTCAAATAAAATATTTCTCTACAGTTGAAACTCAAAGTGAAAGCTCTATGTGATAACTGCAAGAAGCCCTACTACACTACCAAATAAAAACATCGAATGAAACTGTGAGAAGAAAATGGAAAGAGAAGACAGTGGTTTAAAAAACAATCATCCTCAGAGAACTAGGAACTTTTATATTTGTGTCTATTAATGCCATTTTAAGTTTAAGTCAAATAGAAAAATATGATTTTCAATTGACTAATAGAAATTAAATCAACTAATAATTAAAACATTTTATAACTACCATGTCAATTTAATGGAACTTGTCTCATGTGGATACTTAATCTTATTTGATGAAGAGGATGACGACTATAAGGTGTAAGAGCCTATATATTTCTTCCTGAGTGTTGCACGAGTATGACCAATAAGGAGAAAAGATTTATCTAACAACTCAGCAACTAAAGAATCAATCAAGCTTTTATTCTGTTAGTATT